ATAAAATAAATACCAAGCGAATAGCAAGAAGATCAATCAAAAAAAAAGAATGCCAGTTAAAACAAAATTTCTATTCGAAATGTAGAAAGGCAGTATTGTCTTTTAGAGATTTTTCATTTTAAATTTTTTCTATTAGCGTATTGAAGCCAAAGAAGTCATGTGAGTGGCACATACCAATCTCGAAGAGATTGCATCAACACAGTTTTTTTAAAATTAAGTATCATACACGAAATTTCCATATATTGCTTTCTCTTTTTCATTTCGAGTAGCAGTTTCATACGTAAATTATAATAAGAAGACATATTTTATTCTTCAACATCGTTTTTATTTGTCGTATTGTTTGAGACTCGTATGAATACTTTACTTCTTTGTTTCTCGTCTTTGATTTGTTCACAGTCATATTGATGAACGATGCCTGTTATTCGCAAAAATCATATTCAACCATCATCTAATATCAATGATAAAAATTGTGAAATTTTACAAGATGGCAATGTCCTTTTCGCTGTAAGATCGAAACAAACTTTGATTTTATATATATATATATATATTTTTTTTTGCTTATATAAATAGTTTTCATCTATTCTAAGTGTTAAATATTCTAAAGGTCGAGTGCCTCCTTCAGTTATACCACAAAAATCGGCTAGAAATATACTATTATCTTCTAATGTTATTGACAATGAAAATTATATTCAACCATCAACTAATAATAATGGTAAAAATAGTGAACTTTTACAGGATGGCACTAGCCTTGACTTAGTAGGATCAAAACAAGCTTTGATTTTTTTATAATTTTTTTTTCTCTTATGTAAATAGTTTTCATCTATTCGAATTAAAGATCGAATGGCTTCCTCAATTATACCACAAAAATCGACTAGGACTGTAACACAATCTTCCACTGTTATTAACATTGAACAAAGCCATCAATCACGTTCTCACGTAAGAAAGAAAAATTTTGATATAATTGTATTGTCTCTTCATATCTGTAAACAGTTGAATATATTCAATATTTTAATCTCTGTAAGAGTTTCTAATAAAAGAAATGATAAGAGTTTTTCTTTTTTTTTGTTTTTTATTGAACTAAATCAATATTTTTATTTTTATTTTCAAATAATAGTTAGTTCCAACGATTCCTGAAATGGAACATACTCACAAACGAAAACCAGCTACAAAGTGAATCATGTTTTTTTTACCTGTCAGTCTATCATATCACATAACTTTTGAATTTTTTTTTATAGACGTTCCAAAAGCGATCGTTATCGATTTCGATGTATTATACTATTTTTAATTATACTGTTTTGTATTATTATTGCTGCATCTATCGCTGCAATTCTTGTTGGCGTATTATATAAAAATGACCTATCAAGCACAAGTAAGAAATTACGAATTATTTTCCTAAAACAAGTTTAATACATTGAAAATAAAAGAAATTGAATTGCTTCAACTAATAGATTGAAAGTATTCTTATAATTTAAATTGATCGTAGATATAAAAGTTAGAATAGAAGTATGAAATATGCACTTTAGAATAAATTATATAAGAAGAAGAAGCCTTGATAATCAAACTAATCAAATCATATGAATAACAATTTTATATCTAGAACATTCTCTTTTTATACAAAACGAAATGTTCTTTGCTCTAATAAATCATAGAATAGATGGAATATCAGATTAATTATCTTGTCTTTTCTTTTGTTTTTAGCTACAACAACAAGTAGTAAGTTCTTAATTTTATATTTAAACTATAGTATTGATGTTCGTTTTTGTTTTTTGTTATTTAGCTACAACATCAGCAAGTGAGTTGATTTCGATAGAATCTTTTTTAATTTTAATTTCATTTTTTTTTAGCTACAACAACATGTAAGTGTTTATTTTTTTTTGTGAACACGACCTTTTCAGACTTAATTAAAATTCACCGAGAAAAAAATTCGAATTTTTTATAAAAATGCATTCTCTTTAGTCTAACATAGGAAATGAGAAAATCTAACTTCAGTTTCCGATAGAGCACAATTGAGTGCATATATCTACACATATAAGCTCTTATCAATTGGAACAAAATAAAGACATATAAAGCGAAAACGCTAAAAAATTGTCTGTTCTGATAATTTTGACCACTATTATATATATATATATATATCAGTGCTTTAATTATAGCAACAACCACAACGGAAACTACGACTGCAGCTACTAAAGCCATCGACACATTAGAAGACCCCCCTATATTAGAAGACCCCCCTTGAATAAATGACGCAAAAGACATATTAGAAGACCCCCCCGCCCTTAAAAAATCGACATTTTGAAATAGTTTCTGGAGTTTATTGACTTGTTTAGTATTTAAGCCCAGAATGATATCGAAATTCGGTACGAACAATATTTTGCTTCCTCCCTCATAACGAAGTATCAGACTCGAATGAGTAAAATCTAGAGAAGCAATTAATAGGAAACGACTATCTATTGAAGATTGCGTTTCTTTGTAAAAACATATCATGGAGTCATTTTAGCACTTCTTTGCAGCTTACTTTGAAAACATTCTTTAGGCTCTATACACGAAAAACACGCTTTCATAGTCATAGGATCCAATGAACGTAGTGCCCGTTCGTGCATGTAACACATGAAGGGATCTTTGTAGACTAATAACAGATTAGGTAAAATGCCACTTTGTATTAATTAAAAGGTCTCTTTATCTTTGACTTTCTTCTAGAAAATCAGAAACGTTTTCACAACAAAACAGTGTTTCATAATTGAAGAAAACATAACTTCATGTGCAGTCTACGCAAAAAATTCTGGAACACTCAAGAATGACTCTGCAAAATTTTATCTTTCATTTGAAACAAACTTTATATATATTTTAAGTATAGTTACTGGTTAAAGTTTCATATAATATTAAAACTAGAAGTTTTGCATCTGCACAGTAAAGTACGAAAGTTTAACCAGTAACTATACTTAAAAAATATATATAAAGTTTATTTCAAATGAAAGATGAAATTTCGAGGAGCCATTCTTGAGTGTCCCAGAGTTTTTTGCGTAGACTGTATATACGTCAAGATTTGATATGTGAGTACTTCTTTTGAGTTTGAGAACGCATTTCTTTTTTCAATAAGATCCAATGGCATTTTTTGAAACTGACGCAAAAGAAAACACACTGTCTGTATTCAACTGCTGATTTTTTGTAGATGGTTTCTTCACAAGACAATCGTATTCATTGAAGTTAGCTTGAGATTAATAACTCTGCTAGTAGCAGAATTCACTGTGAATAGATTCCATATATACTAATCAAATTTTCACATAAGCAACTGAATAAAATGAGTTTGATTAAAAAAATTAATTTTCTTTTTTACATTTATTTAGTTATTGAGAAGGCAAACTGTTGCCAATGATAGGTCTTAGCCTAGAGAAAAAAGAATGGTATGGGATATCGTACCAAGATGCTAGGCTACGTTGACTGTACTGTTCTAAGAACACTTCTTACCAACGATGGTCTCCTCTTTTTCACAAGATGATATCTGTTTCTTTCTTATTCTACACATGTGAAATAAGTGAAGCAAACTCATTTACTAACGATATATTGGACAAAAATCAAGTGAAACTAAGATTTGTTGACGGAACTACCAAAAATATGACTTTTTTTAGGGACATAATAGAAGACCCCCCTTTTAACTTATGAATGATAAGACAGAATAGAAGACCCCGGGTCTTCTAATGTGTCGATGGCTTTACACCAGGTAAGAGACAAATCACTTTTTTTTTGTATTTTCTAATTATATCCATTCAATATAGCAATACAGTAGAATTTAAAAAACAAGAATAACTAGTTATTATGTAGAGTTTAAGAAAAGTTCTTCAACATATACGATATAGAGTTAAAAAGTTCTTGCTTTGTCTCTTTTTTTTTTATTGATTTCTAAAGAAGAATACTATTTTCTCCTATATATAGTATGCTATTTCGGTGAAGATTATATCAATCTAGTAGAAGGAGGACGACGTCAAATCGGTAATTTAAAAACAGGAGATCGAGTGTGGACAATAAGCAATGATGGTAAACGTTTGATCGAAGATGAAATAATTGTTATACCGCATGCTGGACCGACTATTCCAGGTTTGTATAAACTTCAAATTTAAATTAATTTCAAAAAAATAATTTAAATATAGCTTATTTCTACACATTTACAACAATCGAAGGACATACAGTTAGTTTAACCGATTCACATTTTATAGTTGCCATTGCCAAGGGTGAAAATAAAATAAAAATCATATGTGCTTCAGAAGTAACACTTGAACATCAATTAATTATGGCTGGTCGTACAATAGGTCTTGAAAAAATTGTATACTCTATACGTATTGGTTTTTATTCTCCTATTACATTAAGTGGTTACTTAACTGTAAACAATCTATCAACATCAGTTTATGTTGACTAGTAAATACTATATATGTTCATATTTGATATAACTATATAATTTGTTGGTTTTTTTTTGTTTTAGTTTACACGCACCACATGACTTTCTTCATCAAATAGGAGGTCCTTTTCGAATGTATTATCGTATAACAAGATGGTTATTTGGAAATAACTACATCCCATTTGCAATGACTGTGAATGAAGAAATACATCCAATATCTGCTTTTATCATTGCTAATTATAAACCAATTCGATTATTTTTTATAATTTTTCCATTTATGACACCAATAATGTTCATCATTTTATTTATTTATTTAGTTCAACCAATTTCTTTTATGCGAAAGAAATTATTATCGTTTGATAATAAAATGTTCCATGAACAAATAACGATTCAATCGATGATAGAGTGAACTAAACTATTCGACATTATGTTTTTCATTTTTGTGATTAAAACTCGATTTTTTTTCTCTTTGATAATAAAAAGTTTTGCTACAATCACATCTTTCTTTTTCTAAACATATTCAGTACAAATATCCGACAAGAGTCGAATTTTTGTGACTCGATCTGATCCCAGTCGGACTCTTTTATCAAACATTTTTCTCTTTAGAAAGTTAACTTCTCAATTCTTTTCATTTCGTAGTTAGAAACAAAGGATATGTCCTTGAGGCCGTGTGTGTGTGGGCGAGTGGGTATGAGTGATCGGTTTTCTCCCACTGAAAAATGTATAATAAGTGATTTTTTTTTATAAAAATCAATATTAATTGATTTGATCAAAGCAATTTTCTGTTTTTGCTGTAATGCTTCAGACATATATCGATGTCCAAATATGCGAATTTTGACTCAAGAACAAAATATTTGAGCAAAGCCGATGATTTTGTGAAACAATTTGAAATGAAATCGTCGATCGACGTCGATTTAGACGAAGTTTGTGCGATTTGATTTCATTGAACATCAACAATCACTTTCATCTCGGTTTCTATTAGATATTTCGTCTTGCTGATGCATTGATATTCTATGTCGTTCTGCTATAATCACATATCGTATTACTATGAAGAGTTCATCAAACGTACATTCTACGGAAATCAGTTGATCGACACAGACATCAATCTAATGATCTAGCTTAGAGTGCATGCTTCTTGTCGACTCAATCTCTCGATAGTGAATTAATTTCAATATTTCTCTATAAAAATCTCATTTGATAGATCCTGAGATGGTGTTTCGTTAAAAGCAGTAGTAAATTTGATACACTACATATATCAAGAGATGTGGGTGTAGGTGTTGGTACTGTTGTTGATTTAGTTCACACCCACACACTAAATCCTTAAGATCTGCTGTAAATATAACGAATGTGTACAAAAGGCCGAGTTATTCATTAAATCAATGGTTAGGCTAATTATAAAAACGAAATAAAATAAATACCAAACGAGTAGCAAGAAAATAAATCAAAAAAAAGCTTGTTAATGCAGCTCGTTTCAAGTTGAAATGTGGAACTCACATATATTCTTAAACCTTAATATTCTAATGCATTATATGTAAACTGAAAAATTTCGTGTATACTGTAGTTGTTTTCATTGATAGTCAAAGACAAGAACGAGATTTTGTTATTTATGTCTACATTTAAAACAGAAAATTTGTTTTTGTTTGAGAGCGCCCTACTTTTCTTTTGCATTGTTGCTATTCGCTGATTATCTTTCATTTGTTTTTTATTTTAAATCGTTTTTCGTAACTCAACACTCTTATTATTATAATCACTGAATTAATTGGCAAATAAATTTGTTTTATATATCCATAATATCTACAGAAGATCTTACGCACTATTATATATATTAATCAGCTCTCAAACAATGATGTTGATTATCTTTCAAAATTACAACTTGATCAATTTTTCAAAAAAACTAGAAAGTCTGACGCCTGTTATTCTCAATTACTAAGGTCTGTAATGGGAGCTTATGTTACTATGTGTCTGTAAGGGGAGGGGAGGGGAGGGGAAAGCCGCAACAATTTGAACTTAAAACTTACACTCACTAATTTTCTTCGAAAATATATGTGAATTCCACAAAAGAGCGTCAGTTAAAACAAAATTTCTATTCGAAATGTAGAAAGGCAGTATTGTCTTTTAGAGATTTTTCATTTTAAATTTTTTTTATTAGTGTATTGAAGCTAAAGAAGTCATATGAGTGGCACATACCGACCTTCAAGAGACTGCATTGACACACTTTTTTTTAAATTAAGTATCATACACGAAATTTCCATATATTGCTTTCTCTTTTTCTTTTCGAGTAGCTGTTTCATACGTAAATTACAATAAGAAGACATATTTTATTCTTCCACGTTGTTTTTATTAGTTGTGTTGTTTGAGACTCGTATAAATACTTTGCTTCTTTTTTCTCGTTTTTGGTTTGTTCGCAACAACTCGTTGCTTTAGTTGGACAAGAGTCCAGCAGTGAAGTAGCTAATGGCATTGCTCAAACAAACAAGATACTGTCGAGACTGAGAGTAGCTCATACGGACAAAGACAGTATATGAGAATACGAAAAAAAAGAACTAATGCTTGCACTATATTTCTAATATATATACAAATATTTGATTTATAATCCATACTCACATCCTATCATTATAATGAAACAATCAAAAACTTCACATAGAGTCTTTTCTAAGAAGTTTTGTGAAACATTCTTCTCTCGAATTTGTAAAAAACTGTTTGAAGCACTGTATAGTTCAAACAGTGAAATTGATGGTACCATAGACAGTACGATCGAAAATAAAGTAAGATCAGATTGGAAAAAATTTTTTAAATTTTGTTTCTCTCTTAGATATATTCAGAGATATATGGCGATCGACTGAGTTGCCACCGTGGTATAAAAATAAACATTAGTTGTACGAAAACTTTCGACATTCAGATTCAATTTTCAGAGATGTTCTTGTCTAGTTTCTTATCATCACGTTCTCTACCATTATTTGCCATTTTAAAATTTCAGGGACTAAGAAAACTTTAAACGCCACCACCTGTTAATGTATCGGCATACGTCTACAGTCTATTGGATTCAATATTCTCGAATCTGGACCCGATCGAGCTCTACTTTGATAATCTCAATGGAATTTTCTAATGGTTAATAGAACGTTTTTAGACTTGGATTCAACGATTTCTACTTACGTCGCTAGATACATATTTATAGGGTTCATAAAGATTCATGATATTTATATAAATTTAATAAAAATAAACGATCTATTAAAAAGAACATCAAAAGTGTAAATGTTGCACTTCTTCAGGAAATTCATTAAAAGTCTTTGAACTTCAAAAATCTTTTTTTTAAATAAACAAATCAAAAAAAAATATATATTATTCATTAGTCTCATTATTCCAATAAAAAAAAGAATCTTTATTTACAAATTTGATTGTATAAATGATGTTTTAATTTCAATTAAAGTACGTTCAATCGAATCAGCAAATGCTTGTGCATTCGTATCCGAACAATTTCGATAAGCAGTAACAGTAAATGTTATTCTATAATAAATAAATAAATAAATAAATAAATAAATAAATAAATAAATCATTATGATCATATTTATTTTTAATTACGCATCACTACCAAGCCGATAAAAAACTCCATAACCATTTAAACACATTGGTGCTGTTCCACCTACTGTTATAGTAAAACCAATACAACTTGTAGATAAAATAAAATTACCATTACCACCACTAAAAATTAAAACAATTTAAAAATTAATAAATTTTATCTTCAAAAACCTTTTTATCCATGATGAATCATTTGCAAGTTCAAATGATTTTCCTGTTATATATGCTATCATACTTAATCCAAATAAATGTCGATCACAACCTTGATTTTCTGATGCTTCAAACATTAATTCTTGATGACGATTAGCAGCAATAAGAAATAATTTTCTTTTTTCAATTTCCTATATGTTTCAATTAATTTACAAATATCATAAAGAAAAAAAAAATAAATTTTTACTGTTAATTGATTATTTAAATTTGTCATTGCACGACACCATGCAACTACTTCTGATGTACAAGTTCGTACTGTTTCAGTTCTTCCACGATAAAAACGTCGTGTTGATGCTGTTTCATATGTTGATGCAGGTTTATTTCCATGTAATTTAAAATAAGCTAATTGAAGACATAATTGAAAAAATGTATCTGGATGAATATGAATATATTGTTTAATATCTTCTTTTGTACATTGATTTACATTAATAACTATAATTTCAATATTATCTGCTGATTGATGAAATAAAGTAATTGCACGATTAATAACATTAAATACATGTGAATCATAAATAAATAAAAGTTCTTGAACAATTATTTTATTATTAGGATCAGATAGTATTGGCCATGAATTTATCTTTTCAAGTGAATCAATATGATTTTGTATATGATCACCAATTTGTGTTGGAACAGTACCTTCATAAGCTGAATGCTAAATATAAAATTTATTTAAAATGATTCTTTATGTAAAATTTCAAAGAGTTACTTCATCATTGGCTACAATAAAACCATTTCGTGTGACAATATAAACATTCGATCGATCAAACCAACGTGATTGAGGATTTTTTAACATACCAATACGAGCAAGCTAAATATTCATATTTACATCATGCATTCGCAAAAGTTCTCAGACTAATTTTATTTCAAAATAACAAGAACCGCTGTTGCATTAGTATTTTTACCTATACTTAATTGATACAGTCCTTTATCTATAGATATGATAAGTTATGCTGGATGAAACATATATATGAAAATATAGAAATATATTTTAGACCACTCTCTATATACTGACAAAGAAAAACACAAAAATTGGCTATCGTTCAATTCTCCACCACTCATTATAGCTTCTGAATGAGATTATTATATTTGAAAATGGGTTTATCATGCTTTGATAGCAATTTTAGATGTAAATAGCATAACTATTAAAGCTATTGGCAGTCTGGTGATCGAAGACGTTAACTATGATTAAAGCCAATTCATGAGAAGATCACATTCTCTGACACAATAACAATGATGTGTTGACCATATATATATGACAATCATTAATAGGTCTTTATTCGCGCTTGAAATGATGAATTCATTCAAATATTGTAGTATGTAATAGAGCATTATTACTATAAACTACCACCATATATTCATAAATTTTGGACGATAGTCACTCTTCAACTTTCCTTAAGTCTTCCATGTGTATAGACAGTGATCTAAAATATATGTTTCATACAGCAGAACTTATCATATCCATAGATAAAGAACTGCATGAACTATGCATAGGTACGAATATCAATGCAATAGCGCTAAATAAAATCAGTCCGCGAACTTTTCGAGTAGAGACAAGTATGCGTCGTGACTCTTCGAGAAGCACTACGCCACGACGCAGATATCAAAGACTAGTTACGTGGGCTA